ACGCGCGCGCGGGTGAGCGCGCGCGTGGCCAGTTCGAACAGAATCGAAAAATCGCGATGCTGGCATGGAAACTAGAATGCACTCGTTAAGGGTGACCGACGGGATTTCGGATGACCCGCGCGGTCGGCGGGTCACCCGCCGCGCGCGCGTGCGCGCGCGGCGAGTTCTGCATTGTCGCATCGAGCGCGCGCGCGCGGGTGACCATGGTCACCCGCGCGCGCGCTCGTCGGGAGTTCTGTATTGCCCACAATAGAAGCGTCGACATGTAATTCCAAAAACGGACTGTGAAATTACTGTGGCCATCCAAGGAGGCCGGCGGACGCGCAGACTTTCTTATTGTGGACAATACAGAACTCCCACGTGCGCGCGTGGCAAGTTCGAACAGAATCGAAAAATTGCTATGATGGCCTGGAAAACAAAGTGAACCCTTAAGGGTGACCGACGGGATTTCGGGTGACCCGCAGGGTCGGTGGGTCACCCGCCGCACGCGCGCGCGGCGACTTCTGTATTGTCACATCGAGCGCGCGAGCGCGCGGGTGACCATGGTCACCCGCGCGCGCGCTCGTCGGGAGTTCTGAATTGTCCACAATAGAAAAGTCGACATGTAGTTCCAAAAACTGAATTTGAAATTTCTGTGGCCCTCTAAGGAGGCCGACGCACGCGCAGACTTTCTTATTGTGGACAATACAGAACTCCAACGCGCGTACGCGCGCGCGCGCGCGCGGGTGAGCGCGCGCGTGGCCAGTTCGAACAGAATCGAAAAATTACTATGCTGGCCTGGAAACCAAAGTGAACCCTTCAGGGTGACCGACTGGATATCGGGTGACCCGCGCGGTCGGCGGGTCACCCGCCGCGCGCGCGCGCGGCGAGTTCTATATTGTCACATCGAGCGCGCGCGCGCGTGACCATGGTCACCCGCGCGCGCGCCCGTCGGGAGTTCTGTATTTTCCACAATACAAAAGCCGACATGTAGTTCCAAAAACTGAATTCGAAATTTCTGTGGCCATTTAAGGAGGCCGACGGACGCGCTGACTTTTCCATGGTTGACAATACAGAACTCCCACGCGCGCGTGGCCAGTTCGAACAGAATCGAAAAATCGCTATGCTGGCTTGGAAACCAAAGTGAATCCTTAAGGGTGGCCGACAGAATTTCAGGTGACCCACGCGGTCGGTGGGTCACCCGCCGCGCGCGCAAGTGCTGTATTGTCACATCGAACGCGCGGGCGCGCGGGTGGCCATGGTCACCCGCGCGCGCGCTCGTCGGGAGTTCTGTATTGTCCACAATAGAGAAATCTGCATGTAATTCCAAAAACTGAATTTGAAATTCCTGTGGCCCTGTAAGGAGGCCGACGGGCGCCCCGATTTTTCTATTGTTGACAATACAGAACTCTCACGCGCGCGCGCGCGTGGCCAGTTCCAACAAAATCGAAACAAATTCGCGATGCTGGCATGGAAACTAAAGTGAAACTTTAAGGGTGACCGACGGGATTTCGGGTGACCCGCGCGGTCGGTGGGTCACCCGCCGCGCGCGCGGCGACTTCTGTATTGTCACATCGAGCGCGCGCGCGCGGGTGGCCATGGTCACCCGCGCGCGCGCTCGTCGGGAGTTCTGAATTGTCCACAATAGAAAAGTCGACATGTAGTTCCAAAAACTGAATTTGAAATTTCTGTGGCCCTTTAAGGAGGCCGACGGACGCGCCGACTTGTCCATTGTGGACAATACAGAACTCCCACGAGCGCGCGCGCGGGTGAGCGCGCGCGTGGCCAGTTCGAGCAGAATCGAAAATTCGCTATGCTGCCCTGGAAATTAAAGTGAACCTTTAAGGGTGACCCACGCGTCCCGCGCGATTTCGGGTGACCCGCGCGGTCGGTGGGTCACCCGCCGCGCGCGCGCGCGCGGCGAGTTCTGTATTGTCACATGACTGGCGCTGACGCATGCGGGCGGCGCCATTGTGGCCTTCGGTGGAGCTCCTGTGGGGGTGGCGCGGACGCATGCGGGCGCGGCGCCACTTGGACTTTCGGTGGAGCTCCCATGGGGCCACGAAACCTGTGGCGGGTGCGCCGACATGACTGGCGCGGACGCATGCGGGCGGCGCCACCTGGGCCTTCGGTGGAGCTTCGACTGGGTCAGGAAACGTGTGAGGGGTGTACCGAAATGCGCGGCTGGGACGCATGCGGGCGGCGCCACTTGGACCTTCGGTGGAGTTCCTATGGGGTCACGAAGCGTGCGATGGGTGTGCCGACATGGGTGGCTGGGACGCATGCGGGCAGCGCCACTTGGACCTTCGGTGGAGTTCCTATGGGGTCACGAAGCGTGCGATGGGTGTGCCGAAATGGGTGGCTGGGACGCACGCGGGCAGCGCCACTTGGACCTTCGGTGGAGCTTCGATGGGGTCACGAAACGTGCGAGGGGTGCGCCGGAATGGGCGGCTGGGAGGCATGCGGGCGGCGCCACTTGGACCTTCGTTGAAGCTCTATGCTGTCACGAAACGTGTGATGATGATGATGATGATGATGATGATGACGAATGCGATGAATATGATGATAATGGTGATGATGACGATACAGTGTAACTCAGGATCTGAGGACGTTGCTTAACTAAAGCAGCATGAGCATAAACGTTCGGAGGTCCGCGAAGATTTTTGGGATCAGCGCTGGGCCCCTTCCCTGGCGCGCCAGCGCGCCAAGGGAGCGGCGCACTCTGGGCGCCGATCGGCCCAGCACTGATTCGAGAACTCCGCGCGAACCTCCGAAAGTTCATGTATATACTGTCTTTCCTCTCTTCGGGATCTCTGGGCTCTCGCACGCGCCGGCGGGCTACTTGCTAAGCCAAGAGAAGCAGCTCAGCAGATCTGCATCGACCCACGGGTCATCTCCTAAACCTGATGCGCACGGGCCCGAAACATCGAGCGCTCGCACGCGTTCCCGGCCATCCTGCTCTAAAGCATGCTTACGGCTCTGAAACCATTTGGCCACCGCCATCCCGAATTCAGGTGGGTAGCTCTGGCTCGCCTTGATCGCATCTCGATTCCCGTCCACCTTCCGCTCGCCTTTTGCGTTTGTGTAAGTCGTCACTAGCTCGATGTTCGGCTTCTCCGAGATTCTCGTCGGTGCGAAAGATTGCATTTGGTCGACGTCTTGCCGATTGGAATAGATCCATAAGGGCTTATCTGCGTCGGCGTTGTACCACTTCAAATGCAAGCATACGCGCCACATCTGAAGGGGGGAGATCATCATCGCTCACTGGGGGCCTAATCCCACCAGGCCTTTGGGGGCTTAGCTGTTTGATGGCGTTTCCTCTTCCATCGCCCCCTTCAGGGAGGACCGCGCCCCCCGGGCCTGGATGGCCCAAGACGGATCCGAGAGGGCCAAAGATGCTGCGAGGTGGTCTCCAAGATGGCTCAAGCTAGCCGAAGATGGCTCAAGATGGCCTCCAACTTGTTCCAAGACGCCCCAACCCCTAGACGGGTCCAAGCGGCCATGGTGCAGGGAGTTCCCAAGAATACCAAATCTTCCAAGCACTTCAAAAATGCCAGAGTGCGTTGCCTTCCCGCCTTTTCGCTCCCGATGGCCCTCCGAAGCCTCTCGACGACTCCAAGGGGGCCCCCAGAGTGGCTCCATAAGGTCTCAATATGACCGCAAGAGCGCCCAAGAGCGCCCCACCCTTCTTTGTTCGATCTCTTCCAAGACGCAGATCCCCCAGGAGCCCCCCCAGAAGCATCCAAGAAACCACCCAGAGCCCCCCCGAGACCAACACGAGGCCCCCAATCTGGGCATCGTTGCTGGATGGGCAGGTGGGCATCTCCTCCTCGCCCTTGCCCCCCCCCTCGCCTCCTCCTCCTCCTCTAAGCCCATGCACGGGCCCTGCCTGGGCAGAGTGGCGCTCCGCCCGCGTTGCTTCTATCCCCGAAGCACCCGCACGAGGTGGCGCAGTTGCTGGAATCTCGGATGGGCTTCCAGGAGCGACCCAGCGGGGTTCTCGATGATGAACGCCCCCCCCTGCGCCCAGGCTAGCAGCGCCAGGAGGATGCTGCGCGACACCATGCAGTTGGCGCCCACGACGCTCTGCACGCGGAGGTCTCCTCGGCGGAAATGGAGGGGGGAAGGGGGTCGGGGAGGAGGAGGAGGGGGTGGAGGAGCTATGGAGCTATGTAGCCATGGAGCGAAACCTCACGCCCGTTGCGCCTGCTGTTCCCGACCTAGGCTCTGCCCAGAAGGGTTCTAGTAAAGCGAATATACTCGCTTTACTTAAAGGGGCCGGGCAGTGGTCCACGCCCCGGGCGGTTCCCCCGGCATCCGCCTCGCGGTTCCCCCAGTTGCGCCCCCTGGGTGAGCTTAGCTTAGCTTGGCTTAGCTTAGCCTTAGCTTAGCTTTGCTTCTCTCATATTAGCTTAGCTTATCTTAGCCTAGCTTAGCTTAGCCTACCTTAGCTTAGCTTAGCTTATTACCTAATATTAGCTTATCTTAGCTTTTGCTCAGATTGGCTTAGCTTAGCCTAATCTAGCTTAGCTTAGCTTAGCTTAGCGTAGCCTACCTTACCTTAGCTTAGCTTGTCGAATTTGAGCTTATCTTAGCTTTAGCTTAGCTTAGCTTAGCTTAGCTTAGTCTAGCTTAGCTTAGCTTAGCTTAGCTTAGCTTAGCTTAGCTTAGCTTAGCTTAGCTTTAGCTTAGCGTAGCTTAGCTGATATCACCTTAGCTTAGCTTGTATCAGCTTGGCTTAGCTATCTTAGCTTAGCTTAGCTTAGCTTATGCTGCTTTCCTATGGGGCTCCAACTCCTAGAGAGGGTCGCACTGGGCTAGTTTTGCGAACGGGTTACACAGGCGGGGGCGGGGGGCGGGGTGATTCCCATGGGCGAACTCCGAATGGGCGGCTCCAAGAACGCCGCGACGTCCCCCTGCACGCAACGCCCACCAGACGAAAGCCAACGCGATCCAGCTCCTGGCGGCTCTGCGCCCCAGGAGCTCCGTCGCGCTGGCGTTCGTTCGCGGGCCCACGCAGCCTGTTGACCCACGTCCACGTGCTGCAGACAGGGGCCTGCCAGTGCATCCCGCCCATCTTCAACTCCGTGGTCATGTGGATGGCGCGGCAATAGCCCGCCGCCTCCGGGGGGCAACGCGGACGGGGCCGAAGCGGCGGGAGCGCGGGAGGCGAGGTGAGAGGACCATTGCTAGAGGAGGGAGAAAGGGGGCGGACCGGATAAGGATGTGGATCAGGGAGCGGCTCAGAAGAGGGAGGATGGGGAGGTGGCGGATGAGGAGGGCGAGGAGGAGGAGGAGGAGGAGGAGGAGGAAGAGGAGAAGGAGGAGGGGGAGGAGGAGGGCGCATGTCGGCATGCCTTCAAGATGTCCTGCATTGCTTCGTACTCTTCCTTCTCGAAGCTGCACGCTGTGTAGTTGAGGCGCTTGCAACCGTTCGTGATGGCCTTTCTGCCAGCGAAATACTCCATGCAATCTATGCGAGGGGACGCCTCGACCTGCGCTTGCAAGTATATCAGGCAGGCCAGCGCGGCGAAAACCTCGGGGGCGCCAGTGGCCAGGAGGCGCCGCATCATGGCCTGCGCGCGAACGTCGCCAGAAGCAGCGATCTTGGCGCGAGCGCCCCTGGCCACCGAGTCGCACAGACTTCGCGAGACAGACGAGGTGGCGCCCCTCTTGCGCTTGCCAGGCGTAACACTTTTCGCTAGCGAGCGAAGCTCGATCCAAATGGCAGTCGGCGCCAGCAGTAAGACTCACGGCGGAGAGACATGAACAGGAGAGAGCGCGAGTGCGAGAGGAATGGGTGGGTGGGTGGGTGGGGGGGGGGGGGGGGGCGGGGCAGAGCTAGAGAACTGGAGGAGGCAAGATGGAGAGGGAGAGTTGAAACGGAACAGCAGGGGAGACGGACGCCCGAATGACGGAGAAACCGAAATCTGGAGAACCAAACCTTTGGCCGTCAAACTCTGCATGCAGGATTTCTGAATCGACCTGACCTCGCACCGAGATCTGGAGAGCCAAACTCTCGGCTGTCAACCTCTTGGGGCGGATCGATTTCTGAGCAGACATCCCCACTGAAAGTAAGAAGTCACTCGGGGGATTTTCTGGGCCTGTAGAGACCGCGGCTGGAGCATCCCCACTGAAAGTAACCAAAAAATCGTTCGGGGGACCTTTTCGGTGACTCTCTCTCTCTCTCTCTCTCTCTCTCTCTCTCTCTCTCTCTCTCTCTCTCTCTCTCTCTCTCTCTCTCTCTCTCTCTCTCTCTCTCTCTCTCTCTCTCTCTCCCTCGTCTCTCATGGACGGGGGCAACTGGCCCGCCCCGCGCGCGACGCCAGCCGCCGAGGTCCTCCTGCTGCCGCCGTCGACGCGGCGCTGAGGGGCCGCCATCCCTGGCCAGCCCGGGGGGTAGAGGCGTACGAAAGCAAACAGGAGAAGGAGGATCAGGACGGGGACGAGGGAGAGCACGGGGAGGGAAGAGGAGGGGGGAGGGAGGAGGAGCCACAGCAGTGGCAGTAGGCGTTCTGCCGCGGAGGCGTTCTGGACCGCGGAGGTCGGCGTCCTCCTCCTCCTTCTCCTCCTCCCTCTTCCTCCTCCTCCTCATCCCATAGGTTCGCGCGTCTCCTTCCTCCTCCCATTCTCTCCGTCCTCCTCGTCCTCCTCCCTCCTCCTCCTCCTCCTCCCTCTTCCTCCCTCTTCCTCCTCTTCCTCATCCCCCTCGTCGTCGTCGTCGTCGTCGCCCTCCTCCTCCCCCCCCTCCTCCTTCTGCCGCGCAGTGCAATTCCTGCTGCAAGCGGGGGCATAAAAAAAGACAACCCCTAAAAGACAACCCCTATGGGGTTGTCTTTTTTGATGCCCCCGTTTGGCCTTCATGGCCTGGCCCGCTGGGCCGAGTAGTCAAGGATGAAGATTCCCCTGCCACGCATTTTCGTTCTCATCCGCGACCCCCGTCGGTGAAAGCGCACGGCGCACGAGCGAGCAGCAGCGCTCGCAGACCCAACCCAAAGAGAGTGCAACGCGGGGAGGCGAGGGAGGAGGTGGGTGGGGGGAGATAGATCTGAAGGCGGACGGGGCGGTAGAGGAGTAGCTAGCCCTCGGGATACGCCTCAGCCCTCGGGATACGCCTCAGTCCTCCTCTTGGCCTCGTCCCACGCGGCCTGCGCGCCGTCGAATTGAGCCCACGTGCAAGACGGCGAGAAGCTCTTGAGGGGGATGACCCCTCCAGCCACGGACAAAACGTAGAAGCAAGCTTTCGTGAGCCTCACCGTGACGCGGGCCAGGTTCGGGAGAGTGACGGCGAAGTTCTTGGCGGTCGGCGAGATCGGGCCCTGCGGACGAGCATCTGGAGGGAGCGCAGCCATGGCCTGATGAGGAGGGCGATGGGGGAGTTGGAGGGGAGGAAGGCGGAGAGGAGGTGGAGGGGGAGGGGAGGAGGAGGCGGCGGAGAAGGGAGAGGGACTCGGCACCTTCCTGCGCATGTCCAGGGTCCAGTCCTTGCCGCCCCTGTCGTCAGCGGCTATAGGGCGCCCGAAATGGGCACCGAAAGAATGGGCACTATATGCCCAACAACATGTCCCAAACCAACAGCGGCCGCTGTTGGGCGGGCGGCCTCCTGTCTCGAATGGACACAAGCCGCGGCGGCGTGGACAGCGGATCTTGTTCAAAATGAACAAGATCCGCAGTTGGGCATAGTACCCATTCTTTCAGTACCCAGTTCGGGCGTCCAGAGGCTTCGCGTGCACCCTCGGGCTCGGAGCCGGGCGGGCGCGGCAGCTTCGCCTTCTTCGCCTTCTTCGCCTTCTTGACGAGCTTCTGCTTGCTATTATTATTATTCTTCTTCTTGCCGTCGATGACATTGGCCTTGTCGATATTCTTCTGGAGCCTCTGCTTCCGGAGCTCCCTCTTGGGCTCGAGGGGGTCCACGCTCGGGAGCGGCAGGCCGCTCACGAACTCCATGACGTCGTCCGCGTACTTCGGCTTCTTCGCGCACGGGGCGCCCTCGATGGCGGCGGCCGTCTCTTCCGCCGTCTGGCAGTTGAGGCCCAGCGGCTCGACCCCCAGGTCATGCAACCCCATGGCCGACATCGCACCCATGAACAAGGTGTCATCGTCCGTGTTGACGCTCTGACCGCCGTCGCTCTGCAAAGTCGCCTCGACGCCATCCGTCTCCTCGGGCTCGCAGGCGAACATCTCGATGAACGCCTCCACGGAGTCGGGAAGGTCACGCAGCGCGGTCTCGAGGTCGTTCATGGCATCGTCGTCGGGAAGGTCACACAGCGCGGTCTGATCGAGGTCGTTCATGGCATCGTCGCAGGTCTCGCCTGCCTCGACCGGAGCGTCCTCGAGGGCGGCGGCCGGAGCGCCCGCGACCGCGGGCTTCGGCTTCTTGGCGAGGATCTGCACCGTCCTGTTCCTGGATTTCGCCGACGCCCTCCAGAGGTACCGCAGGTAGCTGATGAGTTTCTTTACTTCCCCAGCCTGTTGCAAGGCGATCACCTCCTTTGATTTATGAAGCGTGGCGTTCAGCAACTTCCCGCTGCAGTTGTGCTCGTCGATCCACAACAAGACGTCCGCGATGCAGTAGACTGGCGCGACCCGGGCGTCATATGCTTGGAGGAAGGCTGTAAGCCACACCGCGTTCTGGACGACTGCCTTCACGTCCGGCTCATCCTTCAATGAAATGAGCTGCTGGCCTTTCCACTCCACGCCCGCCTTCACCTTCTCGATGACACCAGCGGGGGGCTGCTCCACCAGCGCCGCGGCGGTCTTCTGGACGTCAAGCCGCCCCCACCCGCACTCCTTTCCCCGCAGCGACGCCCACGCCGCAGGGTCGAGAGAGGCAATCAAGGAATCGTCGGACATGCTGGCGAGCTGCCGTGCCAAAGCGGCCGCGGAAGAGCTGGGAGCGCAAGGGGGGAGACGGACAGGGGAGGATTCGAGAGGAGGGGGAGAGGAGGAGGAGGAAAAGGAGCAATACCCACGCTGCAGAGTTGCAACGGAATGTCCCCAGCGCGCCGGCAACAGCTACAAGGATGGAGAGCGCGGGTCGTTTTTCAAAACGGGGCTCTCGCCGTCTACGCCGCGATCATTCGTTGTAACAGGGATGGGGGCGGGCACTTTTCGAAATGGAACTCGCCTTGGCACCGTTTGTAAGAGTTGCAACACCTACAGAGATGGAGGCCTCTTCAAAATGGGGCTCTCGCTTCGGCGCCGCGGACATATGTCTTAACTGCAGCATGTTTGCAAGAGAGGGGATTTGTGACGGAACACGGGAGTCGCTAAAGGGAGTGCTTATGATATGGACTCATGAGGGGACATGGGGCGGGAGGGTGTATAGAAGCATCGCTGATGCATCCAATCCTCCTCCCCCTCCCCCTCCCTCTCCTCCTCCTCCTATTCGTCCTCCTCCTCCTCCTCCTCCTCCTCCCTTCCTTGTCCTTTTTCCCCTCGTGCTCCTGCTCCTCCTCCTCGTCCTCCTCCTGCTACTCCCATGCAATGGGGCCGCCGCGCTGGGCGGGCCTGCGCCGCCCCTGTCGGCGCCCGCGGCGCCGCTCCCGGGGGCCGCGAGCGCGTGCTCGGTCCGCGGCGGCGCCGGCAAGAAACGAGGGCATGGGCGACGACGACGACGACGACGACGCCGACGCCGACGCCGACGACGACGACGACGCCGCCGCCGCCGCCGCCGCCGACGACGACGCCGACGCCGACGCCGACGCCGCCGCCGCCGCCGCCGACGCCGACGCCGACGCCGACGCCGACGCCGACGCCGACGCCGACGCCGACGACGACGACGACGACCAGGACGACCAGGACGACGACGACGACGACGACGACGACGACGACGACGACCACACCGACGACGACCAGGACTCTCCGCTCCTGGATGTCCCAGCTGGAGACTCTCGACCCCATTTTCGATATTGATTTCGCGCCGTGGGTTGATTTCTGCAGGTCCCAGTGCCCGAAATGAACTCACGGCGCGAAATCAATATCGAAAATGGGGTCGAGAGTCTCCAGCTGGGACATCCAGGAGCGGAGAGTCCTGGTCGTCGTCGGTGTGGTCGTCGTCGTCGTCGTCGTCGTCGTCGTCGTCCTGGTCGTCCTGGTCGTCCTGGTCGTCGTCGGCGACGTCGTCGACGTCGTCGTCGTCGTCATCGACGTCGTCGTCGACGTCGTCATCGTCGTCGTCGTCGTCGTCGCCGTCGTCGTCGTCGTCGTCGTCGTCGTGGTCGTCGTCGTCGTCGTCGTCGTCGTCGTCGTCGTCGTCGTCGTCGTGGTCGTCGTCGTCGTCGTCGTGGTCGTCGTCGTCGCCATCGTCTTCGTCGTCGTCGTCGTCGTGCTGGTCCTGGTCGTCGTCGGCGACGTTGTCGTCGTCACCGTCATCGAGGGGGAGCTGGTCTGCAGGGGCTGCTTACAGGGGCTCGGAGGCGCGGCGCTCGCACGCGGAGGATCCTCGACAGACGGGATCCGGGAGAGGGGCGAGGAGCTGCGGTCCGCGCCGTCGCCACCGCCGTCGCCGTCGTCGTCGTCGCCGTCGCCACCGTCGTCGACGTCGCCGTCGCCGCCGTCGTCGTCGTCTCTGCCGCTGTCGTCGCCGCCGTCGTCGACGTCGTCGTCAGCGCCGCCGCCACCGCCGCAGTCGTCGTCGTCGTCGTCGTCGTCGTCGTCGTCGTCGTCGTCGTCGTCGTCGTCGTCGTCGTGGTCGTCGTCGTCGTCGTCGTGTCGTCGTCGTCGCCGTCGTCTTCGTCGTCCTCGTCGCGGGGGGGACGACGACGTGCAGCTCGCGGCCAGCGAGCGAGCGAACGATCCCTCTCCTCCTCCCCATCCTCCCCCTCCTCTCCTCCTCTCCTCCTCCTCCTCCTCTCCTCCTCCTCCCTCCTCCTCCTCCTCCTCCTCCTCCTCCTCCTCCTCCTCCTCCTCCTCCTCCTCACCCTCCACCATGCCATTTTGGCTCGAACACCTCGCCCGCGTTGCTCGAGTTGCCTGCTGGTAGCGGCACGATGGTCCGTAGGCCCTCGGGCCCTCGCAGCGCGACGGCTGATATTTACATGATGCTCGTGCGTTGCACGTAGACGTTGTTCGACTGAGTTTTCCGTCGTTCGGTTATTGCCTGGGGAAGTCTTCGGGCTCGACCTGGGCGACCGCCCGGGCAACCGCGCGGGCCGCTACACGCGGCGGCGGCCGCGTGAGCGAGTGTCCGAGCCGCCGTCGCTCCCGCCGCGGCCTCCCTCGCCGCACCCCTGGTGGGCACCAGCTTGGGTCGAACTGCCCATGCCTGGGCAGTGCCCGCATGTGGTCTCGTGCAGCCGACCACTGCCCAGAGTGCCGACCCCTCCTGTATCTGCCTGGCGTGGTGGGACGACGACGCTCGGATCGTCAAGCGCCATGGGAGTAACAAAAAAACACGATGCTTCACCCCTCACGCGCTTCGTGTCCCCATGGAGCGGGGCGTCGCATTCCCAGGTACTGCTGGTACTCGGCCCTCCTGGAGGAAGGCGTGCTGGCGCTGGCGGGCGACCGCGTTTTGTTGTTCGCGTTTCTTTCGAGTCCCCCTCGCCATTCCTCCTCCTCCTCCTCCTCCTCCCCTTCTCCTCCTCCTTCTCCTCCTCGCCATTGGCTCAGCCCGTAGGCATGGCGCCGCGCGTGGACTCGAGGCCCATATGGTTGGCAGCGGAGCTCTAACAGCTCTCGGATTCAACAACGCTCGCCGCTGAATTCAACACTTTTCGTGTTTGAGATTCGCCTCCTCCTCCTCCTCCTCCTTCTCCTCCTCCTGCAGACCCTCCTCCTCCTTCCTCGCTAGCGGATTGCGAAACACCGCGCAGGTTGCGACGTCGGCACCTCGCGGGCGAGCGGCCCCTCCTCCTCCGCCTCCTCCTCCTCCTCCTCCATCCGTTGCTATGTTTGGCTCGCCGCCGCAGAGCATTCGGCTCAACATCAGCGGGTTACGGATCGATTCCATATCGCGCATGTGGTAGCGGAGCGAAAATGCGCAATGTCCCAAAAGTTTGGCAGATAAACATGCCCATTTTTAAGCTCTTAAACGCATACATGCGCATTTACAAATAACAACACGCGCATTGCCAAACATCTTTGGAACATATAAACCGCGTACACACAACATGAAACATGCGCATTGTTCAAAAAGGTTGCATTCGAGAATGCGCGGGGCGAGCGCTAAAGAAGCGCGGGCTCTGCTCTGAAGAATGCGCAGAACTTCGCTTTTTTGTTTCAGTGCTTGTTAAGCCTCGGAATATTGAAAACGCGCAGATGCGCATTTTCTCAAAAATGCGTATCTTTACATAAGAATGCGCAGATCCGACCCTCAGAGAACGCATGAGACCCACGCCCGCGACCCGTGCCCGCGACCCAGTGGCGACCCGCATTTTCCGTTGCCCACCCACCCACATACCACTACACGTGGTACAACATGCTAGTGCAGGAGGAGCCGCTGCGCTTCGCCTGCAGGCCGCCGTGAAGGAGTTTGTTTTTCCTGTTTGAAGTTGTGCTTCGCTCCTCTTCCGTCGTTCCCCTCCTTCCTCCTCCTCCTCCTCCTCCTCCTCCTCTTCCTCCTCCTCCTCCTCCTCCTCCTCCTCCTCCTCCTCCTCACCCTCCACCATGCCGTTTTGGCTCGAACACCTCGCCCGCTTTGCTCGAGTAGCCTGCTGGTAGCGGAACGATGGTCCGTAGGCCCTCGGGCCCTCGCAGCGCGACGGCTGATATTTACATGATGCTCGTGCGTTGCACGTAGACGTTGTTCGACGGAGTTTTCCGTCGTTCGGTCGGGGGCCACGTCGTTCGCGAAAGTTCCCGTGGCGATCGAAACGTAATGTCCCAAAGCAACGCGTGATGCCGCATCTTGTGCGTTCGCGCGAGGTCGTGAGCGCATCGTGCGCGCTTATGTCATGACGTGAGCGCATCTTATGCGCTTACATCCGCACGCTCATTTACATGCATCTGCAGCACCGCAGGGTTCTCCTCCTTCTCGCCATGTTGGCGCGAGCCGTAGGCATGGTAGGCATGGTACGAAACAGCTCTCATTATAATATCAACAACGCTCGTTGAATTCATCAACGAGCTCGCTGAGTTCAAACATTTTTCGGTTAAGTGTCCAAACTTTGGCTCGGATAATTGTTTTCTCCTGGACGTCTTGATTTAAGATCATGTCGCCTCAGTGCGTCTTGAAAAACTGCATGCAAAGGCCACGCGCAAATCGCAAACAACACGGAAACATCATTGTAAGGCCGGAGAGATCGTTGCCATGCCGGAGACATCATTGTTTCCAAAATGATGTTTCCATCGTTGCAATGGAAGAACGTTGCCCCGCGGACGACATTGGGCCCAACAGGTGGGCTGCGACGCCCCCCCCCCCTTCCCGGGACAGCAGTGGTCTGCCCGGCAGACGGCCAGCGGCATGCAAGGACGCACCCTGGCAATCAATGGAAACCAAATTTGGTGGACCCCCCTCCATGGGCGGGCCTGCCAGGATATAACAACAAAATCATATCCAGCAACCGCGTCCGCCAAAGGCCGAGAGGCCCGACGGCGCGGCGTGACGCGGCACGGCTTGGCACCCCGCGGCGACGGCAGGGGCGCAAGACGGCAGGCCGCAACGACGGCACCCACGACACAGCACAGCACCCACGACACGGCACGGCACGGCAACAGCCCAGCACGGCACCGACGCACAGGGGACGGCAGAAACGCGAAGCGAAGGGAGGGCACACGACAAGAAACGACAGCAAGAAGCAAAATACAATTGTGACTGCTCTCGCAACGGTGGGGCGAGGGGGCAGGGAGAGAGAGAGAGAGAGAGAGAAGGCGGCGAGGAGAGGAACGGGTTAACCTCGGTCGCCAGAACA